GTAATTTAAAATTATATAATTGAAAATGAAGTATGCTACTTGGTATTATGTGAAAGGAATTACAGTAAACGTCTTGCCTATAGTTATCTTGAAGACATAGCACAAGAATTTCATTCTATATATGGCAAACGTGTTAATACAGTCACCAGGCCTTATAGTTATATCGAATTCAGTATGTACCTTTTTTTTTATCTTTTTACATAATTTAATTTGTACAGTATATTTAAAAAATTATGCTCCTTTCCTCAGATACATATATTCAAAAAGCAAAGAAGGTTTTTTCGGATGGCAGGTCAAGAAGAAATATGAATGCACTCAACTACCAATTACAAGATGTGCAAAGAATCATGGTAAAAAATATAGATGATGTGTTGCAAAGGGGTACAGTTCTTTCAGGTAATAGAACAATTTAATATCTAAATAAAATTTCTCATATTAATATCTTTTGCTAAACTATAATTTATTTTGCAGAACTAGATACAAAAACACAAAACTTGTCCATGTTGTCACAAAAATATAAAAAAGATGCAACCCTCTTAAATAGCAAGTCCATGTATGTGAAGGCTGTGGCTGGGTTTGTTGCACTTTTGGTCTTCCTGCTATACTTTTTCATTCTTTAGTTGTTCAATTTATTTGGCAAATTGGTTATCACTGTGTAAAGACTACTGATGTTTTTAATCACTTTGTTTTACCACTGTTAGCGAAAATTTTTTCTGTGAATTTATTTTTCCAGATTATGTATTTAAATTTTAAGTCTACTTGAAATTAAGAACAATGTGCATAAGTTCTATTCAGAGAAAAACTAGTCGCAAGAAGTACAATGATATTAATATCATTCAAGACATTCTTTCATTTATTATTATGCAATAAATATAACGATTGTTTATTTACATAATTAATATATGTACGCTCATCTTTGTTTCAATTTAGTGAAAAGTAATATTAACAATTCTAGAAAAAACAAAAGACAATATATACAGCCATGATTATGTTGTATTAAAAATTAAGGTAATTCTATTATTTTGCCTATAAGCTACGAAAATCAATGTTACTTTTGTATTCCTATTTCAGGCTGTATTTTATTATATACATTATTGTTTTAGATACCTTACAAAATTCTTAATAACGTACAGCTGAAAGAAATTTATTATATTATATTTATTTTTGTTATTTTATTA